CTTGGCAACTCCAACGGCTCTGATTTCCCCTGCTTCTTCCTCCATACTCCTTCCCTTCCTTTTTCCCCTCTCTCTCTTGGCTCGGGTGTGCAGTGGATGACCACAAGGTGGCGGCGGGGCGATGGGAGAGCTCTATGGCTCTAGGGCTAGGTTTTTATAGTGGAGCGGCGATCATGGCAAGTGGCGGACGACGGGGAACAGGGCAGGGACACGTGTAGGGCGATTAGGGGGCTCCAGCTAGGGTTTTGGGTACGGTGGGGCATGAAGGTGCCTTGGCGCCCCCGTTTTCGATCGGGCCAGTCAAGGGAAGGCACGGTAGTGGTAGGGGCGCTGCAGAGCACGTGGGCCATTGCGCTCACGTCATGGCGGCAGGTGGGCGCCAGCTGGGGAGGTTGGTGGCGTGGATCGCTATCGTGGCGGCCATCTAGGGGTGTGTGGGGTTGGTGGCTCGGCACGGACGGTGGGGAGTGGCGCTGGGGCCTGGGATCCTTCCCATGTGCCGGTGCTCTACTTTTGGGCGCAAAATAGAGGAGAGGGGGGGAAGACAGAAGGAGGGGGATGACATCGGGGGTCCATCCGTTAGCGAAATAGGGAAAGATGATGGCGTGGTGGCGTGCGGGCTGGCTACGTGGGCCGCATGCGGTCGGGCCAGGCCTGCTTGCGGCTGCGCGTGGGCCAGCAGAGGAGGGCGCGAGCCGGATCAGGGTTGTTGGGTTGCTATTGCTGTTGGCGAGCTGGACCAAGGAGGACGGGGAAGCGAGCTAGGCCTGCTGCGCGCTGGTGGGCCAAGAAGATGGACGGGCCACAAGCTGGGCCAGATGGCTTTTACATTTTCCTCTTCCATTTCCTTTCTTTTTCTATTTCTACTTCCTATTTTCTAAATAAACCAAGGCTCCTATATTCTATACATGTGTCGCCAACATGTACACCTCCTAGTGGGGTCCACTAGAGGTCAACTAGGGGTGGTGGGGTCCATGTCAAGGGTTGGCAACTCACGGGCATTGAGTTGATAAAGATAGTTGGCTGATTATAGAAATTAGGTCAAGGGATTCATGAGAGATTCCAGAAGGAGTCAAAAGGATTGGCTACGGACTTGTGCTCTCCAACACAAAACCCTAAACCAACTAAGGAACCCCAACAAACTCCTACAAGCAACACTATATGTATGCAACAATTTATTTATAAATTGTTCTTTGTTTGACCTAGTATCTATATGCTTCACACATTTGCATGAAAAGTTTTAAAAAGTTCGTATTTTTGGCTTCTCCAAAAATCCGGTCTGTTACAGCTTTCTCGTCTATGAATGCAACAAATAAGCGAAAGAAAGTGCATGATATATCTTCAAAATTATGGCAGTGTCGTTTATGCCATATTTTAAGGGGGAGAATAGAGCGACTGATTAAGAAATCAATTCTTCCGCCTTTAGAACTTTCAGATTTAGAACAATGCATAAATAAAAGATGCCAAACGAAGCGCATGAATTTTAGAAATAGTTCATACAGATATATGTGGTCCTTTTCCTGTGAAGAGTTTAGATGGTTATGATTCATTTATAACATTCACAGACGACTATTCTCGTTTTGGCTATATTTATCCAATTAAAGAAAGATCGGAAGCATTGGATAAATTTAAGATATTTAAGGCTGACGTAAAAAATCAGCACAACTTAAAGATTAAGGTAGTAAGGTCCGATCATGGGGGAGAGTATTACGGTCGACACACCCCATATGGCCAAGTTCCTGGACCTTTTGCAAGGTTCTTATAGGAAAATAGCATAGTAGCCTAGTATTCTACACTGGGCGAGTCTCAGCAGAATGGAGTAGCTGAAAGACGCAACCGTACCTTAATGGATATAGTGAGAAGCATGATAAGTTACTCTACCTTACCGATAAGTTTGTGGATGGAGGCGTTGAAAACTGCCATTTATATTCTTAATCGAGTGCCAAGTAAGTCGGTGCCCAAAACACCGTATGAGTTGTGGACAGGAAAGGAACCCTCACTTAACTATTTATGTGTGTGGGGTTGTCCAGCTGAGGCAAAAGTATTTAACCCAAACATAGGGAAGCTAGACTTCAAGACAGTCAGTTGCCATTTCATTGGCTATCCAAAAAAGTCAAAAGGTTACCGTTTCTATTGTCCTAACAAATAAACGAAGTTTGTAGAAACAAGACATGCTGTCTTCTTGTAGGATGATATGATCAGGGAGAGCATGGTAGCGTAAGAAATTAATTTTGAAGAGAAGCGGGTATATGTGCCCACTCCTATGGTTCAGGAGCCATTCTTCACGCTACCTGTTGTTGCTGTACCAACAGTGCAAGGCACTGTAGTAACAGCACCTATTGTTAGTTCTCCTGTGGCAACAATGAATGAACATGAGGAACTTGTCTTTCAGGACCCCCTAGAACCCGTTGTCACACATGAGGGAGAGCAACAACAGCCTCATATAGAACAAGCGTCATCTAATGAGGCCCCTAGAAGGTTTCAAAGAGTCAGGAGATCAGTCATTCCTGATGACTATGAAGTTTATGAATGTGAGGAATTTCAAATGGAGGGTGATCCCATCTCATTTGAAGAAGCCATGAGAATCGCTCACTCATCCAAGTGGCTTGAAGCCATGGAAGATGAAATAAAATCAATGAAAACCAACGGTGTTTAGAACTTAGAAACAATTCCTAAAGGAGCCAAGACAGTAGGTTGTAAATGGGTCTACAAAACTAAACATGACTCCAAAGGGAATATAGAAAGGTTTAAAGTGTGACTTGTGGCAAAAGGTTTCACGTAAAGAGAAGGCATATATTACAATGAGACATTTTCTCCAGTCTCATGTAAGGATTCTTTTAGAATCATAATGGCGCTTGTAGCACATTACGATTTAGAATTACATCAAATGGATGTAAAGACGACGTTCCTAAATGGGGATCTAGAGGAAAATGTTTACATGGCACAACCGAAAGGGTTTGTTGTGGAAGGAAAAGAACGTATGGGATGTCGCCTGAAGAAATCCATTTACGGATTAAAACAAGCTTCAAGACAGTGGTATTTGAAGTTTGATAGTACAATAAGAAAGTTTGGGTTTCAAAAAAATGTAGAGGACAATTGCGTTTATGCAAAGTTCAAAAATGGGAAATACATTTTCCTAGTCTTGTATGTGGATGATATCTTGCTCGCTAGCAGTGATGTTAATCTACTACTAGAAACAAAGAAGTTCTGGTCCTCAAAGTTTGATATGAAGGATCTCGGTGAAGCTTCGTTCGTCCTAGGAATAGAGATTCACCGAGATAGAGAAAAGGGGGAGGGGTTTAGGATTATCATAAAAGACATACTTAGAAAAAGTTCTAAAGAAATACGGTATGCAAAATTGTAAGTCTTCACCTGCTCCCATAGTCAAGGGCGACAAATATGGAGAATTTTAATGTCCCAGGAACCAATATGAGATCGATCAAATGAAAGCGGTTCCATATAGTTCAACTGTCGAAAGTTTACAGTATTTGTTACCGGGTTACTAATTATATCGATCAAATGAAAGCGGTACCATGTGACTTAGCATTTGTTACCGGGTTACTTGGCAGATATCAGAGTAATCCAGGAATAGAACACTGGAAATTAGTAAAGAAAATTTTGCGTTACCTGCAAGGTACGAAGGATCTCATGCTAACGCACATAAGATCTGAGTCCCTACACATAAAGGGGTATACATATTCTGATTATACGGGAGATGACAGAAAATCCACGTCAGGATACATATTCACTCTCGCAGGAGGAGCTATATAGTGGAAAAGCTCGAAACAAACCGTCACTATATCGTCCACAATGTATGTCGAGTTTGTAGCATATTATGATACCACATGGTAGGTGAATTGGCTGAAGAAATTCATGCCCGGGTTGAAAGTGGTAGACCACATACATAAATCACTCACGTTATACTGCGATAATAATCCAACAGTATGTTATGCTCACAATAATAAGTCAAGTGGTACTGCCAAACACATTGACATAAAGTATTATGTTGTGAAAGTTAAAGTTTAGGATCATATAATTAGTCTTGAGCATATAAGAACGAAAAAGATGCTCGCGGATCCGCTTACAAAAGGCTTACCACCCAGCGTGTTCAGAGAACATTTAGTCGGCATGGGTTTAAGAGAAATAATACGATTCCTGAACAATAAGGGCCTAGTTGAGAATCTGTTTCAAAACAGAGAGGTGCATCGTAGCTGTTTAATCTAATGGTAGCTGACCATAACGATGAGGCACGCTCTATGCACTGATCTGTGATGAAATGAAAACAAGATAAAGTAAGTAAGTTAAGTTTAAGTCATAAGGTGAGATCAAGAGGAAGAATGTAAGATTGATCTCTTCCAATTGGCCTAACTTAGACCCTTGGATCCGCGCCCTGATCGGGGGCGCCCAACCGTTCCATGGTTGGTGGGCCCCCGTCGCACAACGCCATAAAAAGGGAGGTGGGGGCCGGGGCATAAGACACGAGGTTCACCTGAGCCGCCAGACGCCCCACCTACAGTCCTTAAACCCTAGCCGATCTAGAGGGGGGCCGTTGCCAGCGACGAGAAGCTCCGCCACCAGCCACCGCCGCCTCTGCACCGTCATCACCGCGACAGCGCCTACGCCGCCGGGCTTCCCCCCGTCACCGTCAGCAACCCCATGGCCAGCTCGTCTTCTACGAAGGCGGCCGATGGTTTGCACCTCCTCAACCCCCCCCCATCTCTCTATATATCTGTTAATCCCGTACTAGTATACCTTTAGGACTCGCTGTTTATTTTAAATGTAAGTATATATGTTAGAACTATGACTAGTGATCATGTTTTATTTTATCACTAAAATCATTGTATTATTCAACATGCCCCTACTACTTAATCATGTTTTCAAAATATATGGTTACATTACTTGTCAGTATAGTTAAAATGCAAGAGAGATTTGTTCACCTAGAATTTATTTATTGTTGACGAGTATGCGAGGTTTAATGAAATGTCGTTTGATTTCTGCAGTGACATGGAATGTGACCTGCACGTATTCCCAATTTCTTGCTCCGAAGACTCCGTCCTGTTGTGTATCTCTTTCATCGTTTTATAACGACACTACTGTGAACTGCCCGACATGCTCCTGTGGCTGCCAGAACCCAAGTGGGTCAAACTGTGTGAAGTGAGTAGAAACACTCTTCACGTTAGGATTCCATTGATCTAGCTATATATTCTTTCCCCTGCATATACATTGTAATAAGCTTGGTGCATTTGACAGTAAGGGTTCGCCTCGTTTACGATCTGTGATTGATGGCCCTGGCAAATGGAGTGGCGAGCCTCTTGTGGAGTGCACTTGCAGCACTTCCCACACGTGCCCCGTAAAAATCAACTGGCGTGTGAAGCAGAACAACAAGGACTACTGGAGAGTGAAGATCACCATCACAAACCTCAACTTCCGAATGAACTACACGGAGTGGAACCTAGTTGTTCAGCATCCAAACTTCGATAACATCACTCAGTTGTTTGGTGTCAACTACAAACCACTTACTCCATATGGGGGTGACATAAGTGAGTAAACTTGCGTCTCTTTACGTATGGGGAAATGGAGTCTCCCTCTCTGAATCTCTGATGTTGTTTTCTGGTGCCATTACAGATAACACGGCAATGTTCTGGGGTGTGAAGTCCTACAACGATGTGCTGATGCAAGACGGTAAGCTTGGGACGGTGCAGTCAGGGCTCCTTCTCCGTAAAGACTCCCGGACTTTCATCTTCGAAAAGGGATGGGCCTTCCCACGCCGAGTGTACTTCAATGGTGATAACTGTGTCATGCCAGCTCCTGAAAATTACTGAAGAACCATCGATCGGGGTGATTACGGTCACGGGCAGCTGGCCTGGAGCTCCACTTTTGCTAACTAAGACCGTTTGTATGTAGGCCAAAGGGCTTCTTCTGCCTGCCTATGAATTTAAAATGATTATGAATTGCGATGAGTTGAATAAGCGATGCGTTCAACAGGTACCCAGTTAAAATGATGTGAATTTGTTTGGTTGGAACAATGCACCATTGATACCCCGGATTGGGCCGAAACGCGTGGTCGTTATTGGGCTCAGTTGGGAAGCCCGCTCGCTTGTTTCTGGAGAATGGCCCATGTGGCCGTGTGGTCTTCGTCACGTACTCGTTTTCCTTTGGCGTGACGTGAAATGCGGGTTAGCTCCTCTGAAAGATGAGAGAGGCAACAACCACTGATTAGCAAACTTGTTGGTATTGGTAAAATTAATACTACTAGTGCTAATCTTGGGGTAGCCTCACGAATAGCATCATGCCGTGCGAATGCACATCATGGTTTGAGAGAATGGCAGCCGTGTTACCAAAATTGTCCTAGGATCTTTGGAACGTACTGTTGCCATTTTTTTTTTTCTGTCGGTGTTACTTGTGTTGTGTCACACTAACAATATGGCGTTAGTGTTACTCTGTTAGTGTTTTCCCACACTGAAGAATTGCTGATTGTTTTATTTCAATAGTACGACTGTACGAGTTATTAAACCTTTCAAGTCTTCCTCTGCTTAAAATACAGATACATCTCCGTAAGAAACACATATCCGCGCCACCATTTCCTACCTTTTGGCTTCTTTTCTCGGCATCTCGTATCAACAAATTACCCAAAATTATATACCGACGTGTGCATTCAGATTCAGTACGTTTTCACACACGTGCTTGCGTAAAGGGTGGCTCAATATGTTCCACGCTCATCACAAGGGTGGCTGTGGCCCTGGTTGCTCAGGTAAAGGTGCCCTTCAGTCAGAGAAAAGAAGAATGTATTGGGTTGGACAAGACTAATTCTATATATTGAAAAAAAGAACGTCCACAGGGGACTTATGGAACTCATTCTCTTGTCCCAAGTCATTGGGCGTTTATTACATCGAATTATTTTATATCCAGCGAGCACCGGTGACAAACGGAAGATATTCGGCGTGTTTCTCTCTTAGTGGTGGTACATGAAATTCACCGATGTTAATTTACTCGCTCTTATCATTTAAGATAAAAGAACAAAATTCCTGCCTCTACTATCCGGGGATTGTACACGGCTGAGCTCACTCACTCTTTTAGCTTTGCAGCAGAAAAAATAAAATAAATTTGGTGCTAGGTATTGCTAAGAGAATTCTATTATTTTTCAGTTTCATTTATTGGACACGTGGCCCTTCAATCATGATCTAATCTTTCCTCGAGAAACTACTATATAATTACAAACTAATTGCCTCCCTACATAAAGGCCATGGCACAGGCTATCTCCTGATACATTCAGCCACGCAGACGTTTAAACAACCAAGCTAACCTGTCCACCGGCAATCCTTTCCACTCACTGAAATGCAGGCCCCACCCACCATGCATCAGTTTCCCAGCTACTACATGCTGCACTCGTTTCTCGCTCCCGTTAGGACAGAGGGATATACTACGACACATGGAGGGAGGTTGTTAGAGCTGGCCCATCTCCTCTTATCAAATGAGTTTAGTTTGGCCGCCAGAACCAGCTGCCATGTCGCCCTAAATTGTGTCGGCCGTCAGATCTCACAGTGAACGATCCAGATTGCTTCAATCGAATTTTACCGTAAGCGGCTTCTTCGGATTCTCCTTGCCTTCTCCGACCTCTTTTCTATTCCTCTCAGCTTCATCGTTGGAATCCAACCAATCAAACGAGTTTAGTTTGGCCGCGAAACCACCGCCACGTGCCCCTAAATTGTGTCCTTCACATCATCCAGATTGCTAATCGGATTTCCTCGCCTTCTCCGACCTCTTTTCTATTCCTCTCCGCTTCGTCGTCAAATCCAGCCAACCTACTATATATATATATATATATATATATATATATATATATATATATATATATATATATATATATATATATATATATATATATATATATAAACACACACACACACACACACGTAGCTTCTAATTCTCCTTCCTGACTCTTCCTACATATCTCGTGGTTCTCCTCCTCCTCTCTCTTCCCTTCACCTCGAGCCCCTCGAGGCTTGTTGGCAGGGCGTATGGCGCGCCCCCACAGGCTATCTCCTGATACACTCGCCCTTGGTCAAGCTACAGCCTGTGGCCGGCCCGGGCGGCACCGGCCCGTGGCCCGTGGCCGCCACCTAGGGTTTCGCGTCTCCATCGATGGCCGTCCCGGACGACCAGGCCCCAGACGTTTAAACATTGCCCGACCTCCCGTCGCCGGCGGCCCTTCCTCCGTATTGCTAACCTAGGTCCACCGGCAAGGAGGCCCTCCTTTCCACATTGCACTGGAATTCGCATGTGGGCGGCGGGTTGTAGCCTTAATGCCATCAGTTTTCTTGGAGCCAGCTACAACAATCAAGTTGTAATTCTTGTCAATGTTTCTTGCTCCATGATTTTGCTTTTACAGTGGCCGGACTCACGACGGGTGATCACTAAGGGATCGATCTGTGGTGCATTGATTAGTTTTAGGTTTGCGAGATTGCTTCCATGTATATTCCACTATTTCAGTTCTATTGATCTTCTCCCTATCTATTGCAGCAGAAGTGTGTGTCGATTGCCATCGATGCTCCCCTGTGCTCCTCAAGGTACCACCCTCACATTCCTTGCGTTTCTCTCCATCTCTCCTAATTAGGATCATGTAAATTGTCAAGATTGAGTACTAAAATGTCCTTCAGTTTACCAATATCACATCAAGTGTTCTGCTTAAGCAAGACAAACAAATGCTCTTTGTTTTCTCTTTGTGATAATTTCAGAATTCAGAGTTCATTAAGGTTAATCTGGAAACTCCAGCTTCCTTGCCTGCCAGATCATTATTGTCTTGGTAAGCTTTGCTCATGCCTACAGTCAATCTCCTTTTTAAATTAGTTTTACTACAGAGTTTATACCGATTACTACTTACCATATGTGCAAGTGCGGTGCAGAGAACGACCGAAGTGCAGCCGCGGTGGTGTTTATTTCATTATCTTTGATTCAGTTTTGTTATTGACACAGTTCGTCTATGTACCTCACAAATTTGTAGACTTGATACATGATGCTAGCTTGTACTGATTTTCAATGAAAAGGGTTGGAGCATGGACGGTGATGGAAATTTCGTTTGTTCATGTAGGCTTCTCCATGCCTTTGACTTCTATCAGTTGGCTACAATCTCATATAACAATAATAGACGTTACTGTTGCTGCGTTCAGTTACTGTGATGTATAAACAGATTTATTTTCTTAGTTCCTAAACTGATGTTCCAATTTGTGTGCACATTTTCTATAGGTTTTAGTATGCCACGAGGGTTTTAACTCAGCTTCGTAACATTAAAATGATTTCAGGTATGTTACGGTTGTCAGGTTTTAGTAGTGTGGAAATTCTTAATCACCAGTGCTTTGTGTGGCCTTGAGGTCTTAAGACGCTATTCTAAAATTTGCGTTGTAAATTCGTTATTACCACGCATAGAAAGTGCTATGATTTCAAAAGTATGCATAGTAGTTGTGTCCTGCACCATATAAAAAAAGCTCAAATCTTTCGGTTTTTGTGCATGACATATCTACATTAAACTCATAATATTATTTCTATGCAAATATTAAACATGTTTTTTACCTGCGGCTTAACCAGGTGATTTAGCGGCGCGCGCGAGATGGACTAGTAGACTACATACAGCCGGAGATCTTGATGCCGATACCGACTAATTAATTAAAGAATGAAATAAAGTAAAAAAAATCACATATTGTTGTTAATTGTCCTGTTCACTTGGCTTATAAATCGTACTTTTTCAACCAATAAATAATATTTTTCTCTCCCAATAAATCAGCCAACCGTACTCTCTCAGCAGAGCGAACCTGGCAAAATGTCTCGCATGGTCGCCACGGGTTGTTGGTACGTCCAGGTTGCAGCACCTACCGTCGCGATGGCGATGGGGTCTACAGCGTTGGTTGATGCACCGGGCTCACGCGCTCGCCTCGTCTCACTCAGCCTGCAATTTGCGTGGTGCGTCGCTGGTGATTGATGGATGAACTAGTGGCGCTGCTGTTTTTTTTCTCCCCTTCTTCCTTTCTCTCATGGCACCCCCCACCGACAGAAAGAGGGAGGAAGGGCTCTGTCGTCCCGCGTTTCTTTATTCCCTGCAGTGTCGGCTCGCATGTGTGCGTTTAGCCTCTCCGCATGGGTCATCGCCCTCTGTCATTACTCGTTTCTTAAACTAAATCGTAAAGCTTGCCACTGATTGATCGTTCCGGTTTTGCCCCTGGTGACTGAGACTCGCTGGCTGAAGCTTACTGATCACAACACTTCACATGATGGTGATATGATGGGTTTTAAAAAATAATGTCATGTAGACTAGTTTAAACAATCGAATTCATTCCCCATCTCCAGAATCAGGAGATATGTATGAATTTTGTTTCGGAGTAACCAACGTTGGCAACTCTTCTTAGCCTCTTTACTCCTGAATTTTGCTAGATTTAAGGATTCAGATATTTAAACTGAGGATTTCAGCCCTATCGAACGTGTATACTTCGCAAAACTCATGTATCAGTGTTGAACACTCCACAAATGTGGAATATCGATACTCCGTTGATATACATATCCCATAATATCGAAAAATTTACTCAATTTTCAAAACTAAAAAAATATCCCACATATTTTTTTGAGATGTCACTCATTCCCTTAGCCCTCGTTAAATCCAATTGCGACTAGTCCAAATGCTTTTGATCTACTGATGGCGGTAAAAGCGGAGGATTTCCTGTTGACAATAACCTAGCTATTGCAAGTCAGGTATTGGCTGCTTGATAGCCAATAATGTTTATGGATGTCACATAATAATATTTATTGTATGTTTATGTATGTGTAATTTCGGCCCTTTTTCAAATGATATTATATATATAAATTTAGTTTATGAGTAACCAACGTTGGCAACTCTTCTCAGCCTCTTTACACCTGAGTCCTGAATTTTGCTAGATTTAAGAATTCAAACATTTAAACTAAGGATTTGAACCCTATCAAATGTGTATACTTCGCAACACTCATGTACCGGTGTTGGACACTCCACAAACATGGAATATTGATACTCCGTGCATATGCATATCCCATTATATCGAAAAAAATTAATCAATTTTCAAAAATAAAAAATAACCCACATACTCTTGAGATATCACTCATCCCTTAGCCCTTCTTAAATCCAATTGCGACTACTAATCCAAATGCTTCTGATCTACCAATGTCGGTAAAAGCGGAGGAACTGTTGACAATAACCTAGCTAGCTATTGCAACTGAGATTGGCTGCTTGATAGCCTGAATATCGTGCTCAAAACAATGTTATACTATATAATATTTATGGTATGCATATGTAATTTCGGACTTTTTTTTCAAATGATGGTGATATGATGGTTTTCAAAACTAATGTCATGTAGACTCATTTAAAAGCAGTCTTGTATGATTTTCAGTCTTCACTTACCGTTAATCACCTGTCCCTGCCCATAGTAGCAGCAAAACAGGGCTAGATTTTCAGTTTTCACTACCGTTAATCACCCGTCCTTGTCCGGTTGTCGCTAAGCGAACATCACCAACAGCTGTGTCACCAGGGGCATTCCCGTAAATGCAGGCCGGAGGTTGAGGCGTCACATCTACTCCCTCGCGGCAAGAAACCGCCCCCAATATAACCCCACGCCCGCACCGAGGCGCGGAAGGAAGCGGCGCTGCGGAGCAGAGTGAGGGGAGTGTCGTGCTGCCGCCGCAGTAAAAACAGGGGAGGGGAGGCGAGACGCGGCCGCTGCCTGCCGCACATGCTTTAAGTCCCACTCCCCACCGCCCCAGATCTCCGACCTCCTCCCCACCGCGCCCCATTCCCCCGCGGCCGCAACCGTCGCCGCCGCAGTCCGGAGCAAGATCGGCGGGTAGACGCCTAGACGGGCGGGCGGGCGGGCGGGCGGGCGCGGCTCTGTATCTATCTGTCGGTGGGAGACCGCGTGTGTCGGTTAGGCGGCGGGCGGGAAGGAAGAATGGCGGCGGGCGGCAGATCCGTCGCGTGCTGTGCCGCCGTGCTGCTCGCGGCCGCGCTGCTCCTCTCCGCACCGACTACCACAGGTTCCGCACCTCTCTTCATCCGTCTCTCTATGCCTATCCTGCTTGTGCTCGATTTCGTGAGCTGGTTAGACCCGCCGCCCGATCGCCGTTGCGTCTGATGCAACGGAGCTCGGAGAGCTGCGATGATGCTTCCGCTACGGGCGCTTCCGTTGCGCGCTGACAAATGCGGCCCCCGTTTGGTTGGTACTGTCAGTGTCGGTGGCTTCTAGTTTTGACCCCACTGCGCTCCAATTCAGCTCGATCTTTCGAGCTTGCCTCAACTATGAATCCAATTAAGTAGACTTATAGCTTCCTGCAACTATACATTGGAGCTGCCATCTCAGGCTTATTGACCAGTGCCACTGTCTGGCTCAACCTGTCGCGAGCTGCTCCATACCGAGCTCCTTGGTAGTAGATCTGTTCAGGAAGTGAAGAAGCTGTCCAAGATCTTACTTAGTTGTAGTTCGCCATTAAGGGATCCAGTTACTTAATTGTAGTTCACCATTAAGGGATCCAGTGCCAAACTCAAAGTGCGTGTGTGTGGATCTTCGAAAGTGGACCTGGAACGTAATATTGACTTCATATATTGTGTGAATTCATTATCCATCCTTCTATAATTGAGATCTGTGTTTGATGTGGACCCTGTGTTTGCTCTCTGCAGAGGCTTATGATTCGCTGGATCCAAACGGCAACATCACTATAAAATGGGATATTATGCAGTGGACTCCTGATGGATACGTCGTAAGTAGAATGCCCACTCCAACAGCTGTATCTCTTTCATCTCCAGCCTAGTAGGCTCTGGTCTATTCTATTGAATAGCCCAGTTTGACCTGTACAATATAAGTCATGTAACATGGCCAATGGCTGAACTAGAAACATACATCACAGACAACAAGAAAAGCATCCAAAATTTATGTCAGAAGCATGCTATGCGTACGTGGTTCCTGATTTCCCATAAAATACCTCCTGCAGGCTGTTGTCACAATGTATAATTTTCAACAATTTCGGCACATCGGCGCACCTGGTTGGCAGCTTGGGTGGACATGGGCAAAGAAGGAGGTTATATGGTCAATGGTTGGGGCTCAGACCACTGAACAGGGTGACTGCTCAAAGTTCAAGGGCAACACCCCCCATTGCTGCAAGAAAGATCCAACAATCGTCGATTTACTTCCAGGCACTCCATTCAACATGCAAATTGCCAATTGCTGCAAGTCAGGAGTTATAAATACCTTTAATCAGGACCCAGCAAATGCTGCTTCCTCCTTCCAGATCAGTGTTGGTCTTGCTGGAACTACTAATAAAACTGTTAAGGTGCCAAAGAACTTCACTCTTAAGACTCCAGGCCCTGGGTACACATGTGGGCGTGCCATTGTTGGCAGGCCGACGAAGTTTTGGAGCGCGGATGGGCGCAGGGCAACCCAAGCTCTAAGTAAGTTGCCCATATACTGAACTTTTACATTTTACTTGCTATCAGTTGCTTATATATGTTCTGGAGATGAGGTACAGCTACATCATATTATTCAGTGTGTTCCTATTCCTTGATCATGATTCCAAATTTTCAGGTTACATTACTTGCCAGGTTAGTAAAAATGAAAACAATCTAACAAGAGGAATTTGTTCACAAAGGAGGAATGCTAATTGATATTTGTTGACGATAAGTTACTACTAGGCTCAATAAAATGCAATCTCTTCTCTTTCTTTTTTTGTTTGTTCTTCACAAAGTAATATATTCTAATCGCAGATAGTCCTAGGAAGAATTCATACAAGTTGCAGTTTTGTCTAGATTTTATAGCAGAGAGGGTTCTTAACAGAGACATTCTTTGTCTGCAGTGACATGGAATGTGACCTGCACATATTCCCAATTTCTTGCTCAGAAGACTCCATCGTGCTGTGTATCTCTCTCATCGTTTTATAATGACACAATTGTGAACTGCCCAACATGCTCATGTGGCTGCCAGAACCCAAGTGGGTCAAACTGTGTGAAGTGAGTTTATCTGCTTTTTACTCTTAAGTCATGTCATATTAGGGTTCTATTTTTTAGCTGTAAAGTTTCTAATGAATTCTATTGCATTTCGCAGTGAGGATTCACCTAATCTACAAGCTGCAATTGATGGTCCTGGCAAATGGACTGGCCAGCCTCTTGTACAATGTACTTCCCACATGTGCCCGATAAGAATCCACTGGCATGTGAAGCTCAACTACAAGGAATACTGGAGAGTGAAAATCACTATCACAAACTTCAACTTCCGCATGAATTACACGCAGTGGAACTTAGTAGCTCAGCATCCAAACTTTGATAATATCACTCAGTTGTTCAGCTTCAACTACAAACCACTTACTCCATATGGGGGTGGCATAAGTAAGTAAATTTGTCTTCCTTGTAGAAAATAATTAAAATAAACCAACCTACCTCCCTACCTCTCCTGATGTAGTTTCTCTGTCCCATTTCAGATGATACGGCAATGTTTTGGGGTGTAAAATTCTACAATGATTTGCTGATGCAAGCCGGCAAACTTGGAAATGTGCAATCAGAACTGCTTCTCCGCAAGGACTCCCGGACTTTCACCTTCGAAAAGGGATGGGCCTTCCCACGCCGGGTGTACTTCAATGGTGATAATTGTGTCATGCCATCTCCTGAAAATTATCCATGGCTTCCGAATGCAAGCCCTCTAACAAAACAACCATTGACACTCCCACTCTTGGTATTCTCGGTTGCCTTGGCTGCTCTGTTGGCTTATGCATGATGAGTGGGATCAAGAGGTTTAGCAAGCTTCAAGTTGATGTCGGATTCCATGAGGTGCACTGCAACAGGTCATTTGTTCATTCAATTCCATGGTTGCACAGAAGAGATGCGGCAATGCCAAGAAAAAAGTTGATATGTGTGTGTGTGTGTGTTTGTAAGTTAAAGGGCCAAAATGTATTTCTTGTTTGGTATATAGCAGCCCTACAGCACTTTGGTGAACTTAGTTACTGCAAATTAGGTAATTACAGTTGCACCTTTTGTATTTTATAGCAAACCCAGAATTTTTCATTGGATTATATGACTGCTCCTCTTGTAGTAAATGCAAGGATTCCCTGATAATGTTTTAAAGATTGGTCGAATAGAAAAGACAATGGTGATTGAGATATCTAAGTTCTGGCGTCTAGATACATTTTGCTGTAGAGATTATTGAGCTAAATTGCTAAGCTACAAGCGTTAACTGTTCACTGAACCAAAATTACATTACTCAAGAACATAGAACGAGAATGAGTGCAGCACACGTTTATGTGCAACAGGAAACCACAAAACGCAACAAGAACATAATACTAATCAGGTTACAGAGAAACAAACGTTGCCTTGCAGCATCAATTAAGATTATAGAATACGACCCAAATCCTAGATGGCTCGAGAATTCTAGGAGCCTCGCAGTGGAACTCTAGGAGCCTCTGAGAAGGGCAAAGGGATGTTTTCCTGATTCTTTTTTATGAAGCACACAACATATATCCTTCAATGAAACTAGATCACAGATGTAAACTTCAATAAAACTAGATCACAGATTTTTACATTTGATACTGAAGCTGTAGTCTGGAGGTAAGTACAGAACGGCAGATTCAATAATTGATCAAACCAGAGCAACTAGCTCCATTTAAACTAAAAACAGAACCACAACAACGAACCATTTAAACTAAAAACAGAACCACAACAACGAATACTTATATTACTGCAACTACATCATAAGAACAACAAACGAATTCATGGAAACAACTTACCTTAGATTGGATGCAGGAACAAATTGTTCCTAACCATCCACCACGAAGAAAAACACCAAGCCTTCATGGTGCTGCTGCTCTGAAGCCTCGGAGCTCAGAACAGGGCATATGCCACCCATGGCCTGGTATATATATCCATAAGAAACCATAGATCTAGTGCAGTCTAAGGATGGGCTGATGGTTCGCCCGTAGCTTTTGGTTTGTTGGCTGGTTAGTTCAAAGCAAACCCCAGCTTGAAGCTCATTACCCTCAGCCCTCACCTTCCACATGTTGGCTTTTGCTACTCCTTTAAGCAATGCCATTCATCCAAGTGCACCCTTCCAGGTTACTCAAGATACATGAGAAACTTCACCAGATCTTAACAGGCGATGGTGAAATACTTGCAATGAAAGAACAGAATGATCAAAAGAGGGACCGGCTAAAGTTACATATAACCTTCTGAAATCTACAGCCCAACCATCTGCACCTTATTCGAGATTTAGACAGTTTATTAAGTAAGGCAATAAAATGGAAGAAACAATTGTGCATATGTGATGGCTGTTGATATTTAACAAGCTGTAGATAAAGCTTCCGATAAATCTCCGACAATTTGGCTTCACACCTTTTGAATAATGCGAAACAAAAGATAACACGGAGATAAAAGTAAAAGATCGAATGCCAATCCATGACATTCAAAAGCATCAAAGGTGGCATGGAACACATTTACGCCAGCAAGCATTATGGTTGGTTCCAAGAGTAATAAATCCATCAATCGATTGTCATTTCGCCAAAATAGTGCCATCAATCAGGCAAATGTTTGCCTTTAAAGTGTATAAGAATCGAACATCATAGTGTATTTTGGTTCTGAATAGGAGTACATATATCCGTCCATGCAATATGGGTTGATCCCTCTAACAAGGATCATCTGCCCAAGCTCGGCACATCAACTCATCTGCCCAAGCTCGGCACATCAACTTTCACTTCCTTCGCGCGTACAATATGGCAACAACAGCTGATATCCCAATTACAGCTGCTGGGATTGCACAGTACTGCACCACGTTGTCCATAAGCTTGCTGGCAAATCCCGTGTCCTGCTCCTTCCTGAAAACCTCCATCTCAGGAATCTCAGGAGTTGGGTCCAACTCCCCAATCAAGTAGTCCTGCATTAGCTCCTTGGCACTCTTGCTGTGCCCAGCATCGTCAAATTCTTCTGTAGCATCCTTACCTTCAGACAGAATGACACCGTCATACAAACCATAAAATATGGTAATAACACATGGATAATAAGAGTAGGAAAAGTGAATCAGGGCAGCAGTACCGGTTGCTTCGAGCAGAACATCGGCACCCCCAGGATGGTCTTCCAAATACTTGGTCACGTCATAAATCTGCATCATTGGCCATCAGACAATGAGTTTATGTAGCTATAAGATCACTGCAGCATGTCTCAATTCTACTTGACCTAAAGCATCAATTGATGCAACTGTGCTGGCAATAGTGAGGAACCGGAGGAAATTCTGAGACAGCACAATCAATCTACAAGCTAGTTTACAACGCCCTCCCAATCTCCCAAACCTCAGTGCCGCTAGTATTGGCAAGAGTACGTGCACAACAAGCCGCACACGATAACAAAGGCCTCCTAGGCATTCCATCGAACACGTTGCGGGAGAAATCGCATCGGAACTAGAACACTGTGTCCTCACTCCCCCCTCCCACGCGTTTACATCTCTACCTACCACTTCATACCTACACACCTATCTACAGCAAGGGCGGATGAGGGGGCGATACAGCGGCGCTACCTTGCCGTCGACGACGACCCAGCAGTCCTCGGGCGTGTTGTGGAGGGCGGCCTCCTCCATGCTGTACAGCTTCGTCAGCGTCGGCATCTCCGTCCCCTCACGGCTCCCCTCTATATCAACCTACTAATCGAATCGGCGAAGGCAGGGAGGCGGCGAGTAGATTATATGAGGGGGCAACGACCGCCGCGGCTTGCCGGGGAAGAAGAGAACGGTAGCAGGCTTCACGGCTCGGGACTTGGGATCCTCGCCTGTGCTGCTGCTATCTTGCAGCGGAAGAAGAACAAATTGGAGGCGCGGGGTGGGGGTACAGGCTACAGGCTACAGGCTACCTGCCGTAGTGCCGTCTGCTTTGGTGGTCATCTTAGGCCGCTAGGGTTATTTTTGCCCTCATGGCCCATGGGCTGATCAAAAATCGTCTGCCGTAGTACCGTGTTGAAGTCCAATCCATCTAGCTAGCACTGATCAGTAAATAGACAATGATGTTGCTAAAAAAAAGTAAATAGACAATGATTGTCATGAGTCATGACTAAAATTAGTAGCATCACAAGATACTGTCCCTCACATATGAGTACACGCTACGATTATGGACGTCTACAGAACTGTATAAAGAAATCCTGAGATTAAAAAAGTGATGATAGAGGTCTCATTATTGATGAGCATAGATACTTACCTCTAAAAGAAATAGATACTCTTACCTCTAAAAGAAACATGTTAGTGGCATGCTGGGCAACTCGATTCCACGTTTCCTGCTATTCTCTAAAAAAAACAATGGTGGATCAATTCTTACCTCTAAAAGAAATGTGATGTCTTTTGGCAATCTGTAGAACTCGATTCCACGTTCCTCCATGTTATTGCTCTAAAAATGGATGCTGGTGGATCAATTTACTCCCTCAAAATAGAGTGTCATGTGGAATCTTTTTCCTTATGGAGTACAAGAAAGTAGTTCCTCCATATGCTAGTTGCTCTAGGAATGGATGCTTGGGATGGAGTGAGTTTACTCCCTCTGTCCCCCAATAGAGTGTCATTTTTAACTTTTCTAGGATGGAGTACAACTAAAGTAGTCCCAGATATACCCTTAGTATATAGACTCATATCCTTAGACTCTGGGTATATAAATCCATGTCCTCTTTCACACACATGCTCTTTCATCTGTATTTGCATATTTTTGTGGCCATGAACATGAATGGAGGGGTAGTTCCTATCTCTGACCATAAATCTACATTATTCCCAGCTTACTAACATAACATAGATGCATATTTTCTCACACACTTATCCTCTAGACATGCACAACACACTTATCCGCCAGGAGCCGCGTGGCCCAAGCAGCACACCTGGAGATGAGATCGATGCATGGCAACGCTCCTGTCTCGGAGAGTTGATCCCACCAATGAATCTTAGTGGACATGGCCTAGACAAACTCGGCACTGGCGGATGCAGAATAGGATTGAAGAGGGGGTTGGCCTTTTCTTCTTTCTCTCCCTCTCTTTCTTTTTTCTGGTTTCCTCCACCTCTTCTTCTTCCTCACCCTCCCTATATTTTCATTGATGCACCAGCCCCCCTGTAGATCCGCCCCTACACCTAGGCTCGGGCTCGGCACGAGCCTGGCTCGAAAAAATAGGCCCGACTTTATGGTCATGGACGATATTATTTTGGCCCAAAATAGCTAGGCTTTTTCAGTCCGGTCTGAACCAGACTCGACCCGCAAAATGCTCAAGTCTACTCTTTGACATCCATGGGCTGAAAGACGATGGTTGATTTGTTGTGAGAGGAAAATGACAAAAAGTACGGCTTATAAGCAAGCGAACAGGCTATCTCACTCTTTGACATCTTCAAAAGGAATTTGCGATGGGCGCATACACCATGAAATTGACAAAGTCAAACATCAACGCTATCACCCATGTATGTAAAACGATATTATTATTTATCGCATTTAGTGGGAGAAAAAAATACTACTCTGCTAAAATCTACCTCAAGCGAACAAGTTGTATATCACCTACTATTTAAAAGGAATCTGCTATAAAATACACGGTGCCAAACATAGCGTTTCGCCCATTCTAAAAAACCTCCCTCCACTCTAATTATAATTTTTTTGGATTTTTAGATACATTATTTTTACGGAAGGGCTAGCGCCTGAGACGTCCGCCCGTAGGAGGCGTCTGGATGCTACTCCCCGTTCAAACGCGCCTGCCTCAGGCGCCTGCATGGTGACCCATGTCGGCGCCCCAGCAGCAGTAGCAGGCAGGCTGCGACAGTCGATGTCCCCGAGCACCGGGGCCATTGCAACATATGACTAAAAACAGATGAAACACTTGAAACATACGCTTAAAACATGCGTGTATAGCCATAACAACATATTCAACATCCATATAAAACACTTGCAACATACCTATGAAATATCTGAAACACTTGAAACATGTGCTTGAAACATGCATATTATGCAACATCGAGATATACTTCTGCAATATCCACATGAAACACTTGAAACATACGTCTGAAAACAGCTGAAACACCTGAAACATAATTAAACTTGCAACATGCATATATTGTTGTTGCAACATCACATGATCTACTTGAAACATGAGTCTGAAACGCCTAAAACACTTGAAACACAACATCGCCGACTGTTGGTATATTTAACGCACATAGATAAATCCACAAACGCACGGATACCGCTGTAGCTTTTACCCGGAAGTATTCTAAGTATCGTATCCACAGAGAAACGTGTGAGACAAACTACGGTCTGACTTAACTAAGGTTCTCTAGTTCTGACTTGGGTAAGCTATGTCTTCTACTATTTAACTAGGGACATTACTTAAGGAAAGACACAAGTAGATGATGCTTCCTATAGTAACCACGTCCTACTTACCCTACAAACGGAAGGTGGACTACAGAGGATTCAATGAGGCTATAAAAGTCACCCTCGTGAGCTACCATCGATCCGAAAATGCAGGATGCATCCACAAGTAACCAGAGTCTAAGCACCACGCTTACACTACAATTACTACTTTACTCTTCTCGGATAAAGAATAAAGCACTCAAACAAGTTGTGAACCTAATGAATAATATAAACAAGAAGCTTACTTGAATCAGAAGTTGATTACTAGACAAATATCAGAGACAAGCTCAGATAGAACTTGGATCCACCAAGGTATAAGCCGTAGAGAGAGCACCGACAGGCCGACACCTCCTCCAAACTCTTCCCTCACTCTCCGTCTCACTATTATTTAAGACTAGATTCTATGGAGGATTAATCTTTTCTTGATAGCTGGCTCTGATCCTGACAAGGAGAATATGAATTATGGTTTTAAGATTGCCTCTAGGGAGGGGGGTAGGGGCTGCTGTGGGCAAGGAAGCGAGGTGAGTAGGAGGCAAGAAATCACCATGTCATCAATCCACGTCAATTCCCTCGATCACCGTTGGATGCACCGACTATAAACCGCCTTAAATTAACGGTGTAGATCTTGGAAACGCATACAAGGAGACAAAGGGCTAACGGACTCCGGAGCAGGCCGACCGGCCTTGGGATTGGGCCGTGGCCCACTTTCGTGGCTGTTTGGCCCAAGCTTTGGTGTGGTGACTTCTGGAACCTTCTAGAGTTGTCTTTCGCAGTTTTCGCGGGTGAATCACTTGTTGTCGTCGGTTTGTTTGTTTGGAGTGTATGACAGTGGTCCCGGGAGCTGTTTTCTAGATAAATCCTCCTACATACAAATATTTATCAAATCTCATGAAATTCATTAGTTTAAACCCCTATACCTATGTTTGGTGATGGAATTAAATATAAATGCAGATTATGTTGATGGTTTATAATTGATGTTAGTGACCGTCAACACCAGCCTAGTGAGGAACTGTGGTAGCTAGCAAGGTCGCTATCCTCCCCCAGCCTCCGCCGCCCCACAACCCCCTCCTCCTCTTCCCCGCTCTCGTACGAGGTGGAGTACCACGCGACCACCACGAGCTTCACCGCGCGGCGTCTGCGCCCATGGCCTAGCCGGGAACCGCATTGATGAGGAGGGCCCGGGGCATGGAAGGCGCGCGGGTTGGAAAGACACACGGGACACTGCTGTTGCGAGGGTGATGCCGATCATGGCCGGCGGTGGTTGGGCATGGGCATGGCGGCAAAGCCTTATCTGCTTAAAAGAACGAGTGGAGTGGAAGGGATGATCGACTCTAGGTTGAGAGTGGGAGAAATATTTTTGAGAGAGAGAGACTAGGCGATGTTGGGCCAGTAGCGAGTAGGCCCAGAAAGCGCGATGTTCGAACGAACAGACCTGAGGAGAGCATTACCATTATTTTTATTGTAGACATAATGTATATGTGAGTGTATCACGAAAGTTGTGTTCTAGGAAAATTAAAATATCTTATAATTTAGAATGGAGCAAATATTAATTTCAGAGCAGTTTGTAGGCAATAATCCACATACCCGTGCAATGGCGGATCCAGGACAAAAAATGACCTATGGCGAACTTCGGACTGCTAGTTTTTTTCCAAAGCGATTATATAGAATATAAAAGATAATAGCATGAAAAATATATATATATATATATATATATATATCCATAAACCATGTCACAATCTCATGATGCTTTTATGAACTCTAAAAGATGAAACCAAATTGCAACTTCAATTGTTTCTTCAGGTGCAGCAGTATTTGTTCCCGTACTTGGACCGGAAACGGTGCTAAAGTATCTCTTTAATCCTAAAACTATCGATTAAAAAATTCAGTAAATCAATTGCTCAACTATAGGTCAATCAAATTCGCAATAGATTGAATCAATTACCTTTTTCTTTTCTTTCCCCTATGTATTGCTGCCGCACCAGAATTTTGCATCGCTAAACCTGGACGCCTGAACTTGACAGCAGCAGCAGACCAGCATCCAGCAGAGCACCAGTGCAACGCAGCAGCGACCGCCGGCCAGCAGGCAGCAGTGCGATGCGGCGATGCCCACGGACGGAGTAGCAGTACGATCGGATGGAGATTGAAGAAACTGAAACGACATAGCTATGCCCACGGACAGAACTAGACGCAAGCAGAGGCTTTTCACATTCTACATGGGCTTCATCAGGGTAAAATAACAGCCCAATTAACA